ATGGGTTTCCTGTAAACAGCATATGGTTGGATTTTGTTTCTTGATCCATTCTGCTAGTCTGTTTCTTTTGATTGGTGCATTGAGACCATTTACATTAATGGTTATTACTGTTAAATGCTGGTTAATTGTAGGAATGTTATCTCTCTGCTGTTGCATCTTTATCTTTCGGTTCTGTTTAATTATTTGCTTTGCTTAGTGGTTTTTTCCTTTGTGTATCTAAACTGTCTTTCAATATTTTTTGCAGGGTTGGTTTGGTGTTCATGAAGTTCTTCAGCTGTTCTTTGTCATGGAAGTATCGTATTGCACCATCTATTTTGAATGATAGTTTTGCAGGATATATCAGTCTTGGTTGGAAATCATTTTGCTTTAGGATCTGGAATACTTCACTCCATGCTCTTCTTGACTTTATCGTTTGTGCTGAGAAGTCTGCTGTGATTCTGATAGGTTTTCCTTTATAAGTGATTTGTCTTTTCTCTCTGACAGCTTTTAATAATCTATTCTTGTGTTGGATTTCTGGGATGGTGACTATTATATGTCTGGGTGTAGTTTTATTTTGGTTATGACTGTTTGGAGTTCTATATGCTTCACTGATCCTGATGTCAGTTTCTGATCTCATGCTTGGGAAATTTTCAGCTATTACTTCTCTAAATATCCTCCTGACATCCTTCATGTTGTCTCCCTCTCTTTCATTAATCCCTATCATTCTTATGTTATTCTTCTTTGCATCGTCTTGCAGTTGTTGAATTGTTGTTTCCTGGTTCCTTGTTATTTTCAAAAGATCTTTCCTTTCCTGTTCACTAGCTGCAATCCTGTCTTCAAGGTCTGAAATTCTATCTTCACTTTCATTAAGGCGGTTTTTACAACTTTCAGTGGAGTTTTTTATTTCCTGTATATCTCTGTGCATCTGCATTATGTATTCTGTTTGTTTCTTATATTGCTCGTCTAGGGATTCTATCTTTTTGTTTAGTTCCTCCAATTTTTTATCTGTGTTTTCTTTAGATATATTTAGAATCTCTTTCATTTCTTTTTTCATTTCTTCTTTTATCTGGGAGATTATTTCGAGTTTGAATTTCTTTAAAGCTTCCTGGAGTTGCTTGTCAATTTCAGTGGCTATTGTGTCCGATATATGAGGTGGATGGGATATATTTTCTTCTATATACATCGCTCCTAGGGTTTCTTGAGATGGGCTGGAGGTTTGAGGTTGTAATTTGGTCTTTCGTTTTGTCATTTTCCTATATTTCTGTGTTTCAAGTGTTACTTGAAAGCTTCCTCAGGATCTGTTGAAAATCCCCTTCTATGTTTGGAGGTACTGGGACTCTGGCGCCGCGCTACTCCAAGCCATTAGGCCTACAGAACCAGTGGCCCTCCTCTGCCTGCTCAGAACTCCGCAGTTCCAGACAAGCTGGGCCTCAGGGACACTGTGCGCCCACCTGCCCCTTGGAAGCTCCACAGTTCTTCAATCGCAGCCGGGTTAGGGTACTCACCACAGGTCGCAGTGCTTCAGGAACCTGTGGACCCTCCCTGGTTGCAGAGATATCCACAGTCCTCCAGACACGCAGAGAGGCCAGTGAGGGCACCCCAGGTCTGCCCAGTTCCTCCTCTGCAGACCTGTGGCCAGGCGCGGCAGCTAAACAGGCTGGGCTAGGCTGGTAGTGTGGGCCAGCCCACCTATTGGGAGCTCAGCAGGTCTCCAAATGAAGCCGGGAATGGGGAGGCTGATGTGGAAGCCTTAAACCCACCTCTCTCCTTCACTGCACCTGGAAGCCTGAGGGAACTCCAGCAGTCTGGGCGCAGAAATCCAGAGTCCTCCAGACACGCAGAGAGGCCAGTGAGGGCACGCCAGATCTGCCCAGCTCCTCCTCTGCAGACCTGTGGCCAGGCGCGGCAGCTAAACAGGCTGGGCTAGGCTGGTAGTGTGGGCCAGCCCACCTATTGGGAGCTCAGCAGGTCTCCAAATGAAGCCGGGAATGGGGAGGCTGATGTGGAAGCCTTAAACGCACCTCTCTCCTTCACTGCACCTGGAAGCCTGAGGGAACTCCAGCAGTCTGGGCGCAGAAATCCAGAGTCCTCCAGACACGCAGAGAGGCCAGTGAGGGCACCCCAGATCTGCCCAGCTCCTCCTCTGCAGACCTATGGCCAGGTGCGGCTGCTAAACAGGCTGGGCTAGGCTGGTTGTGTGGGCCAGCCCACCTATCGGGAGCTCAGCAGGTCTCCAAATGAAGCTTGGAATGGGGAGGCTAATGTGGAAGCCTCAAACCCACCTCTCTCCTTCACTGCACCTGGAAGCCTGAGGGAACTCCAGCAGTCTGGGCGCAGAAATCCAGAGTCCTCCAGACACGCAGAGAGGCCAGTGAGGGCACCCCAGATCTGCCCAGCTCCTCCTCTGCAGACCTGTGGCCAGGCGCGGCAGCTAAACAGGCTGGGCTAGGCTGGTAGTGTGGGCCAGCCCACCTATCGGGAGCTCAGCAGGTCTCCAAATGAAGCCGGGAATGGGGAGGCTGGTGTGGAAGCCTTAAACCCACCTCTCTCCTTCACTGCACCTGGAAGCCTGAGGGAACTCCAGCAGTCTGGGCGCAGAAATCCAGAGTCCTCCAGACACGCAGAGAGGCCAGTGAGGGCACCCCAGATCTGCCCAGCTCCTCCTCTGCAGACCTGTGGCCAGGCGCGGCAGCTAAACAGGCTGGGCTAGGCTGGTAGTGTGGGCCAGCCCACCTATTGGGAGCTCAGCAGGTCTCCAAAAAATCTCTGGTTAAAGTTAAAGAAATTCCCAATGCTTGTGACAGTATGGATGAATCCTGAAAACATCAAGCTGAACAGAAGAAGCCAAACACTGAAGCGTGCAGACTGTCCGATAACACGTACACGAGGGTGAGCATGGGCACAACCAGTCCATGGTGGCAGAATCAGAACAGGATGCTCCAGGCTGGAGACTGGGAGGGGCAAAGGAGAGATGCTGCCGCCCCGAAGACAGTGTGGGTTGTGTGAAGATGTGTGTTTGTCTGGACCTGTTGATCCGTATGTCTGAAACTGATGCACTTAATACTTGGAAATTATTCCTCATTGCAAAAATAAATAATTTGAGAAGTTAGATATTAACTTTATAGTGATGTATTTGAAGACAGGCGAAATAGACTAACTTCTAGAAAAATATTTTAATCAAAAGTAACACACACAAAATAGAAAACCTGAAAGCTCCTTTGATCATGAGAGAAGCTGAATCATTTTTCAAATACATTCTCACAGAAAACTAGGCCTAGGTGGTTACATCACTCAGTTCTAACAAACCAAAAGATGAACTGTAACACAGCACATATATGCCAGAGAATAGAACAGAAGAAACATAATCCTAGCTTCCTTTATGAGCAAGAACAACCTTGATACTTACGCCTGAAGAGTTCAATGTGTGAAAAGAGAATTATGAGCCAATATGATTCATAAATATAGATATAAAAAAACTAAATCTAACATAATCAAGTTGAATTTATACTAGGGATACAAAGTTGACTTAACATTAGACAATCAGTATGATTTAATGCATTGCTATAACGAAGAAATAATGGTCATCAATATCTGTAAAAAAAAACATGGTTACAATTGCACATACAACTCATAATTTTATAAGAAATGAAACAAAATAAATGAAAAACCACCTAACAAAAATCATAAAAGAATTTTCCTAAGTGGTCATGCACTAAAATCTTAGAGAAAACATCACTCTTTAATAATAAAAACACTTAAAACTTCCCTTCTGACACAGAACAAAACAAGATTGCTTATTATTGTCACTGTTTCTTACCACGATGCAGGAGGTCCTAGCTTAGGAAAGAAAAAGGAGAATTACAGTAGAAAGGAGGAGACAGAACTGTTATGATTTGCAAATAACATGAATATGCACAGAGGAAATCCAAAATAATCAATAGATAAATGATTAAGAGTTTAGCAAACTCTTGAATACTAAATGAAAGCACAAAAATCAATTTTTCTATACACCAGCAACAGTTAAAGACAGTATTTTTTTTAAAAACACCACTTGTAACTATTTATAAATACATAAGTATCCAGGAACAAATTCACAGAAGATGTTCTCTTCATCGCTACAGAGCAATAATTAATTTTGTGGGGAATTATAAATAAAAAAGACCTATGGGCAGATACACTATGCTCTCAGAATGGAAGCTCCGAGACTACAAAGAAGTCAGAAATTTCCAACCAGTCTATACATCATTGTAATTCTAATCAAAATCTCAACATTGTTGGTTTTTGTTTTTTGTTAAAACGTGCTTTTGATTCTCTATATTACATTTATTCTTTTAAGTAAAAAATTATATGTATAAAGAGTACATAAATGTATAGTTTCTGTCAGAACTATAATTACAAAAGAATTGCTGGTATCTAAATTATTCCACAGTCTATTCACACTATTTCAAGATTTTTGTGTTGTTTGTTTTTGAACAAAGAACAGTTGTAGCTGGGTGCAGTGTGCCTGCCAATGGGTCCCAGCAGCTCTGTAAGCTGATGTGGAGGAGCAAAAGTTCAAGGCCAGCCTGGGTGGTGGAATGAGGCCCTGTCTCAAAATAAAAAAAGGCGCAAGTGTACTCAGTGGTAAGAGTCCTGCCCTACTGTGAGACCCTGCATTCAATCCCTAATACCAAAAAAACAAATGCACTGTTTTTTAAACCTTAAAACATATTCAATACTTACTGCAAAAACTGAAATAAGCATACGTATAAAACATCCAATTCTGCAGAAGATGGCACCAATAACACCTAGATATGTGTGCTTCCAGAGTTTATTCTATATGTAGTTAAACATACAGTACATGAACTCCACTACAGTATTCCTCAGGTATCACTGAAAACCCAGTGTCAGCATCCAACCACTCGTGTGTTTTTATTTGCTCTTATAAAGTATCAAGACAATTCTGACACAATTTTTCTGTGTGATCTCTGCCCACTGGGAAGTATGTACAGCCACTTACTGCTTGTCAGATAGGTACTTACTGTGTTATATACATCTTCAATCATGTTTGATCCTTCTGTGGATTTAGCTGATACTTTCAGCTTCCCAGGTAAACCTTTCTCCAACTGTTGAATCTAATAAGGATAAAAATAATGTAATTGCTCCATCTGAGGTGACAAAAAACCAAATGGATCAAGGACCAAAGGGTGCACACACATGTGGGTGGATGTGTGTGCTTGCATGCATATGAGTGTGTGTATTTGTGTGTGGTGCAAATAGGTGTTGAGGGCTTTGGACCTCGCAGAGGGAGAGAAGAGGATTTGGAGGTAGAACGGAATAAAATGATTGGCTGGGACGGGAGGCTGAATAAAAGGAGAAAGGAAGGAAGGCTTCCTAGTTTGTGTTAATACCTTGCACAGACTTTGTGCTGCTCACTGAGCGCTGAGATGGGATAGAAAGAACATCTGGGGAACACATCTACTAAGAAATACAGTTTCGCCTTTGTTGTGTTAAATTTGAAATGTTCACGAGGGACTGGAGTGGTGACAGCCAGGAAGCAGGAGTTAGGAATGAGCATGGAGTCCAGGAGAGACATCTGAGCAGGAGCTTGGATCTGAGCCCCAGTGCCTGCCCCTGCCTGGACATCCAGGGCAGAGACACTGGATTTCCTGAGTGGCAGCCTCCAGAGGGTGGAGAGACGGAACAGGAGACTAGAAGCGTGCAGTGTGCAGTGGAGCAAGAAAGTAGGAGAAGCATGTTGAGATTTGTTTTTGTAGAGGAGAAAAGAAAAATGGGGGAATTTGTGAGAAGGGAGCAGAGGAATTATTTAAGATTGAGACGTTCTAATGAGAAAAGGGAAAAGATGACAGCTGAGGATGGGATTTTCTTGAGAATGTGAAGAAAGGTCAGAGGAGGGGGGATGCAGCCTTCAAGAACAGCAAGGATACCGCCGGTGCCAGAGGCAGGAACAAAGGAGGCGGGTTCTGTATATGTGGGATGGGTAGGAGATCTTTAACACTGTTTGAGTACAAACTAGTTTACCTAATGCAGTGAGGCACACAGGGCAAAATTATCAATGAAAGAGTAAGAAAAAAAAAGAGGAATTCTGAATACCATTCAGACTTACCATCACAGGTATAAATTTTCTCAAGAACTTGACACCATGCTGTTCCATGTAAGAACCCACTTTCTCTGCCATCTCTCTATCAAAGCCACGAAGAAGGATGGAGCGCACCATTACTGTGACATCTAAGCCAAAGCCTGCAAGAAACCCTGCACATTCCAGAGCCACGTAAGATGCACCCACTACTAATGTTTTTCCGGGGCAGTATGGCAGGGAAAAAAGATCATCACTGAAAAACAAAGATGAAAACCAGATTACGTGGGCAAAGAAAATGAAATGAGCTGTCTCAGTTTCAGTGTATAATGATCTTTAGTTGCTAGAACTGCAGTTTAGTACAGCTGAAGAAACACTAAAAGCAGTCCCCTTGTAAGTTTGTCATTGAGTCTACTGTGGACAGAATACAGGAGGAAGTATAACTTTTACACAATCAACTGAGATCACAAGAAGAAAATTTTGTAAATAAAATTGGGTAGAAAACATCAGACTTCATTGATAAGAAAAGCAGCTGTTGGCGGTGTGTGGATGTGGTGCGTGTGCATGTGTGTGTTCTCCTGAACAGCAGCACGGGCAAAGACGTGCTGTGTTACTGTGAGCCTGCTCAGCAAGTTTGCAGGTCATTGTGTACAACTGTGCAATGTCTTCTGACCTTCTTGGGGGAAAACCTGGGAAATCTCAGGACTGAAGAGAGCTAGGCTGCACCTGACCACATTTCACCTTGATCCTTCACACTTGACCTTAAAGCTAATAGTTTTTACTCTCTTTGACCTCTACCCATGCCATTTCCAGCAACTATCTGGAAACAGGACATATTTTTATGCATAAATTTTACCCCTCTCATGATTTACTTAATTTTACTTTCTCTGTCTTATTACTTGAACTTTGTCACTTCCTACATTCCTATATACTTTTATTTATCATCACTTCACATCTTTTGTACAATAAGGGAGAAAATAAATGGAAATATAAACATAACTCATTGATTAAAGTTGAAACACTCTATTTAATCTTACCTAGTAATACAGTATTCTTTATCTCCTTGGATTCCTAAGTATCGTGGTCTTTCACCTGTTGCTATCACAAATTTTGCAGCAGTGTGAAAAGTGTCCTGTCCTTTTCTATTGGTTGCCTTAAAAAAAAAGAAAAGTAAACTTCTCTTATTCAGCAAACACTAAAGAGCATCAGACATTCTGGAAAAATAGTTACAATTATTTCAGGACTTCTCATTTGACAAGAAAAACAGCTGTGCAAAATTTCTTGCACAACATGATAAACATGCTGTTGGGTGTGGAGGTGCACACCTGTAATTCCAGCACTCAGGAGGCTGAGACAGAAGGATTGCTGAGAGTTTGAGGTCAGCCTGGGCTACAATGTGAGTTCAAGGCCAGCCTGAACTACATGGTGAAACCCTGTCTCAAAAAGGCAAATACAATAAAATAAAATTTTAAAAAATGTCCATAGAAAATAGAGATCTTTACCAAATAGTTTCCAATGTACTATGGTGGGGCAGAGGTAGCAGCCTGTCAAGGATGGCTTCACGGAAGGCATAGAGTTGAGAGAAGGGAGATGACTGGGGGAAGAATGGAGCCCGAATGAGAACACTGCACACATCTGCCCACAAGGATCTGGGGTCAGGGAACAGCAGTAGGTGGCCAGAAGTGATGGGAGGGCATGGTTGTATCATATATGAAAGGAAACAAGACAGACTAGAGCCAGATGTGAAGGCCTTCCCGTGTCAAACTAGAAATCCAGACTATGGGAAAGTGACAATAATTACTGCTAGTATTCTGTTGTTATATGAATAATTCAAAATACATTTTCATGTAAGTCACTCAAATACTGACAAAGGTGTCCAAATAAGTATGACCAGTAGGATGGAGAGTGGGCAGCCTGGAGAAGGGGCCTGCTTAAAGGACTCCAAAACAACAAACCAGTACACGCTGGGGACAGAGAAGAACTGATGTCCAAGCTTGAGCAATTGGACAGATATCACAGATGTCTTGGGCATCAGAGATGAGGCAGGGTGGGTGGGGCATGCCTGGGCTACTCAGCCATCTGTGCCAGGTGTGTTACAGTCTGAGAAATAAGACCAGCTCATAGTTCCACGGTGTTTCACAGGGGTGATGTTATTCAAACTGGCAGTGTGTGGCTGGAGCAGCCTACATGGACTCCTCACCTTCCTCAGCTGAGGAAACAGCCGATTACAGAATCACCTAAAACCTTGTCCAGATCATTGCACTTGGTATTACTAAGTATGAAATAAACTACATGCTAAGGACAATAGCTGTCTTTCATCACTCCAATTTAAAAAATGTTATCATCAAATGATCTGATTTTCCTTATGTACTGATTTCATAGTGTATAAAAATTATAAACATAAACACACTAATTCAGGTACAACTGTTATCAGTGCTTTTATAAACAATATGTATTAGAGTTTTGTTTTTGTCATTTTTGAGACAAGGTTTCACTATGTAGTTCAGGCTGGCTGGCAGTGATCCTCTTGCCTCAGATTCCTAAGTGCGGGGATTATAAGCATGTACCACTGAGCCCAGCTGTATTGGAGTTTTAATAAGGTCTCATTTAAAAAAAGAACTCTACTACTAAAATTTTGAATTGTTTTAGTCTTTTGAACATTGAGCCATCTAGTTAAAATATTTTCTTTTTTAAGATGCAAGTAAACTAAAGGCAAGCAACTTTAAGAATTCTTTAAAATGCAGTATCTTCAACTTAGCAGTCATCTAATAAATGAATTGGGGGAAAACATACATGTCTGTGCAGTTATGTGTGCTATGAACACACACGTGCACATGCTGACCCTGTATGTGCTGCACGTACACGTGTACACATGCTAGCTACTGTCCTTGGCAACATGGAATTGTAGTTTCAAAGAAAAATCATAGTTAGGAAAGATAATGACCAAGACATGAAACCCAGACAGTACCTTTATTTTATGCTGCTCCACAAATTCTCCATAGGAGTTGACATAGGTCACCCCTTTCTCTCGCAAGGACACCCTGTAGCCCCAGTTCAGACTGCTGATGTGGTTCTGAATTGCTTCTACCATGGTCTCCCAGTTGTGCTTCACTGAACAGAAATGAGCAGGAAGATGTGTGGAGTGAGTGCTACTTGTGGTGGCAGGTTACACACAGTCACAGTAACACACGTGAGCCTCACTACCTGCTGCATTGAAGACCAAGGCGTGGTCAGGCCGGGTGGCACGTGCCTGTAACCCCAGCACTCTTCGACGCTGTGGAACGAGGACTGCAAGTTTGAGACCAGCCTGGGCAACCTGCTGACTGAGTGAGACCCTGCCTCAAAACAGAAATGTTTTTAGAAAGGGCTGGAGATGTAGCTCAAATGTGAAGGCCCTCAGTTCAAGCCTGAGCACCAAAAAAGAGAAAACATCCCCCCAAGGCATGGTCGTTTTCATTACCGTCTTTAATCTGACTTTTCAGCTTGTGATGCCGATGAGTAAGCCATGTCTTGGTTTGTAACATTTCTTCTAAAAGCAATGAACCTAACTGAACTCATGAATTATATTTTAGTTTAATCTCTTGTGTCCTCTAGGCACATCCGGTATAACTGGGTATAGGTTTTCAGATGGGGTACCTGTCTTTCTATGCATCCCCTTTGCACTCTGCTTTGGTGCAAGACCACCCGCCTGAGCCTGCATTTAACGCCAAGAGCCCGCGCTCTGACTAAACACAGGTTCTGCCATTTCCCCATCATGCCACAGCACATACGCTGCTAACTGCATGAGCGTATGGGAGATGCTCATCTGTCCTTGTGGGAACCCAGCTCCAGTAATCGGGGCCACCATGCTGTAGAGGAGGACACTACTGTAGAGAAGAGGTGACAGCAGCCTAGAGTTCTGGGATCTCTACCGGTACAGTTTTCTGTTTTCAGACTATTATTTTGGCCTTAAAAAATAAAGGTGAACTTTCTAATTTTTTTCTAAGTTTAAATGACACAGGAAGAGTTTATTCCTTGGAGATTTGAGAACATGGACTTGTAAAGTCATGGTGTCTTTTGGGATGTTAGTCGCTCTCAGACTCATTTCCTTTGATAAATTAAGCCACTCAAATTGTTCCTATTTTCCGAGAAGACATTTCTGTTCATTGAGATAGTTAAAATTAACAGCACTAGGGGCCAGGGAAATAGTTCAGTGGCAGAACACCTGTCCGGTGAGCACCAGGTTATGAGTTCAATCCCCAGTATCCAAAAAAATAATTAAAAAAATAATAAACTTAAAAAATTATCAACACTAATTTGTACAGCCACATTCAATGCTTTTTATGTTTTCCATGATTGCATTTATAAGATCTGTCCATTTTATTTGTTTTTTCAAACACCGCACTCTATTTTTTTTTCAGACAATGTCTTATTATGTAGCTCAGGTTGGTCTTGAACTTACTTTACAGTCCAGGCTGGCCTCAAAATGGTGGCTGCCTCAGCACCTAAGTGCTGGGATTACAGATGTTCGCCTCCATGACTAGATCATATACCACACTCTAGATTTTGTGGGGGAAGACTAGCTTGTGAATTTCTGGTTTTACTGTTCGCTTGCCTTTGCTTACACTTTGATGTTCCCTACTGTTCACTGCTGTTCCTTATATTTGTGTTTCCTCAATATACCTTCTACCATCTATTCAAAACTTTCTCATATATTTAAATTAACAAGAAATTTTAAAATCATCAACTAAAAATTTAACACACACACACACACACACACACACTTTTTTTTTGGTATCAAGGACCACACTTGACTTCACACTTGCCAGGCAGGTGCTTATGCTACTAAGCTAAACCCCCAGACCCCATAATTTTATATTTTCAACAATGATCGCTTTGGATGTTAGGTATCTGTGTATAAAAAACACACGGGAGAATTTTGCTTTTACCAAACCTGAGCCTCTGAGCCATTTCACTTTATTCTGATTTAATATTATCTTCGTAAATCATATAGCTGCTCTTATCTTCTGTTGCTATTATTTGGAATTACAATTTTATGCTGCTTCTCGTTTTACTTTTGCTTTACTATCTGTTCTCTGTACATTTTCCCTTTTCCTTTTAGCCTTCTATTGGTGGTTCTACATTCAACTTCTAATCTGGAAATTATTTATGTATTTTAAACCTGTTTTAACCTATATTTCTCTATCAAGAGTAGAAATATCTAAAGCATTCTCCTAAAGTGAGACTTCAGCATGAATTATTTCCTTTCTCTCACCTCCTACATTCTGCTCATTTTTTTTTTTTTTTTTAGTACGGGGGATTGAACCCACAACCTTGCGCTTGCCAGGCAGGTGCTTATGTTGTTAGGCTAAATCCCTGACCTCCTTTTTTCCCCTCCCCTAATCCCTTTTTGGTTCACTTCTGATCATTTACTGAGCCTATGCCTCAAAACTGCAATGCTCCAAACTCCAAGTTCCTCCTTCTTCTTCTTCTTCTGCATTTGGATGGTGCTGAGGATCGAACCCAGAGCCTTGCACATGCTAAGCAAGCCCTGTACACCCCAGGCCCAGGCTAAGTATTTTAGAGCTGACTGACTTAGAAGCATTTTATTTATAGGGAATTTTGAGAAGCTTAAATCTTGACTCACTTGAGAAAATTACATTCCTTAAAGTTCCCCATCTGTAAATGTTTTCTAAGTCAACTCTGGGGTGCCACGCTAAGGAGAAAATCCAGTGAGCACTTAGCAGAGTTAGGCACATCTGCTGAGGACTCTACAGTGAGGATGGAGTGTGCACAGGTCCTGGATGTCCTCTTTATGGCAGCACAGAGTCCACATAGTACCAGATGTGACCGTGTACAGGGCTAACAAACCCCAGGGCCCTCAGCCAGACTGACACCCTCTGCCTGCTCTGTGGGCCTCCATGCCAGAGAAGGAAGCCCGCCCTGCCCTGCTCAGCCTTTCGGCCACAGGGACTTGACGGTTCCTGCCGCAGTGGGACTGGATATGCTCTGTCCCTATGAGAATCCAGGGGAAACCTGGCTGCCTTGTGACAGTGACTGGATCATTACAGGTGTCTGGGCCTTTCTCCCAGGAGTAAGTTTGTGGGCCTGGATTCCTGACCATGAGGGCAGAGGCCAGCTCTGCACTTGGGTTCTTCCTTGCATGCCCACCTGCCTCTGCAGGAGCTAGAAAGATGCATGTGTGTGCGCACGAGTGCATTCTTGGACTTCCTTTTTTCTTTAACTATCCAGCCTCATTATTGTTAGAGCAACAGAAAATGGACAAAGAAATGTCACCTGGGGTCAATTATTAGAGAAACAGTACAGAAGCATTCTTACTGAAAAAATAAATAAATAAAAAGACTCTTTAGGGATGCTGAGGCAGGGAGATTAAAAGTTTGAGACCAGCCTAGGCAACTTAGTGAGACTCTGTCTCTAAACCAGAATTTACGAAAGGCCTGGGGATATAACTCTGCTCTGTAGGTTCAAAGCCCAGTACTACAAAGAAAGAAAGGAAGGAAGACTCCTTGACTACCTGCTGAATTGAAATGTCCATCCTCCAAACTCTGCTCCAGTGAGTAAGAGTTTGGCAGCAATGGCTCAAATTAGCTCTCTCTTTAGATTCCTAGAGTCCTAAATTCTACCCTGAAAAAATTGAATCCTGTTAGCCTCTGTAACAACCCTCCTGGTTTCTTCCTCTTCCTGACCCACTTATCCCAGGTATTAAAAAATGACCATTTTGTCTTTTTTCTCTTGATATTAGTACATGTTTGCAGCATCCAATGATCACTCATCATGGAGAATTTGTACATGTACATAACACATCTTAGTTCCTTTCTGCCTCCTTTCCCTCCTTTTCCCCCAGACCTTTTTCTCCTTCCCACCTGCAAAAGCTCTATTTCCGTATTTTCCATGTTCTACCTGTCTTCCACATGCCATAACTCAAAAGCTGGCTGCACTGTAGACTTGGTGAGGCCTGTGTCACCTCTCCCCCTCCACACCCGACCCTGTCATACTGAGTACTGTGGTGCCACTGGAGGACCCAGAGCCCTAACCAGCTCTCTCCTCTCCTGCTTCAACTGCTCCACAGCTCTGCTATTTCTGGAGTGAACCTTAACTCCTTCGAATGGTATGTGAGGCACTGTGATGCTTATCATGCTGACCTTTCTCCCAATCCTTTCCTCACGCCAGCCACTCACTGTCCCCCACCCCATTTTCTCACACCTGCATAGCACGGTCCCTGCGCTTACTTCTGTGTGGTCTTCAAACTCGATGGTCACCTTGTCTCCACCCTCACCCCTCGAGTCTGTGCCATGCAGCGGTGTAAATTATACTGCACTTAGTGGGCTTCCTTGTGTCTCCCCAACAGAGTCTGTGCATCTTCAGAGCCCAGCCAAGAAATGCTTAGTGCTGAATTTGTTTTCCACTTCTCATTAACCAAAGAGATACACCACCACTGATATATTAAAAATGTTATTGCAGTAACAGATAAAATTCAAACAACAGCCCCTGCTACTCTATTTTTTTTTCACACTTGAAGAAAACCTTAAAAGAACCATCACTGTCTCCCACATTGCTAGGGGCTGAGACCACCCCGTCCCAGACATGGGCCTAGGATAGCAGGGCCATCTCTGCGGCAACTGGACCTTCTGGGCACATAGAGGCCTCCTACTGATGCCTGGCTCTGCTATAAAAGTAACCAGCTAAGTTTCCATCTAAGGGTGTCACCCTCTCTCTTCCCTGTCAACCCATCCCCACTCACCTTTCTGACTGTACTCCCAGCCAAACTTCCTGGAGTCCCGCAAGGCCTGCCCCAGGAGGGCAGCCTGATGCATCAGCTTCTTAGGGATGCAACCCACATTCACGCAAGTACCACCGAGGCCTGAGGAGCATGGAATAATTGAAGGTTTCCTGTGTGCCTGTAGTGTGTCTCCACAACTTGTAGTGTCACTAAAACACATGGAAGCAACAAGCTCAACAGTAAAGGGGGTGATGCCCCACCCAAAATAAGATACCAGTGATTCAATCAGACTTTCCAGGTAACCTTGAGTCTGGAGGAGCTCAACCACAGGCAAACACATGCATGTGCACATGGGTATTGTGGAGGACACTTGCATCTGTCCCTCAGTGGTATGGGGCTGGATTAGTTTTCTCAGCTGCACCCAAGAGTCAGGAGCTCAGCTTCTGGTCTTGGGTTTGGCAAGGCTGGCCCCTGAGCCAGCTGGGTCCTCTGCAAGCTGCCTGGTAACATCCATTTTGGATCTGAGCAACCCCAAACTGATCATGTTGAGCACCCTCTGCAGGGCAGAAGTAGGCTTCCCTTTAGCTGACAGTTCTGTGATGCCAGATACTGGTAGAGTGTCTGGGATAGGAAAGGGAGAGAGCAGAAGAGAAAGGAAACAGGGCAGCAGGAGAAGCAGAGGAGTGTATAGACACTCCAAGAATATCAGAGGAAAAACCAAGGTAGGTTGTTTTACCAGTTGAATTCTAGACTGAAACTTTTTGAGTTAATATGCATTTTTAAAAATGATTTTGAGTTGGGCATGGTGACACATACTGTAATTACAGCACTCAGGAGGCTGACTCAGAAGGATTGTTGTGAGTTTGAGCCCAGCCTGGTCTACAGAATGAGTTCAAGGCCATCTTAAACTACACAGAAGGGCCCTGTCTAAAAACAACAGCAACAACAGAAGATTTTGATATTCACCAGGGTCTGGCAGAAAAGAGAAGCCACACTCAGGCCAGGTAACTGAAGAAGGTTCATGGAGAAATTATTACAAAGTACAGACAGAAAGGGACCGAACAGTCTCCCAAACCAGTGACAGCAAGGACACTGGCAGCCCCAAGGGAGGGGACAACAAGGCCGAGTGTCATGACCCAGAGGGGCCTCTGACATGAGTTGTTTTCCCGGGGAGCAGGTAGTGACCCAATAGGGTGGGAGCCAGGGAAATAAGGATCCAGCTCCACCTCTTCTCTCTCCAATACTAACACTGGCTGAGCCCACCAGAAACCTGAGGGCAGCGAGGCTGACATCTGATCCATCTTCTGAGGCAGAGATGGAAGGAAAATGGATGTGAAGCATGCACAGAAAACACCCAGCACTAAATTTGTGTGTTCTGTTACTGGAAAGCAGTGAACTCAAACACAGCAAGGAGACCACACTGGCCCAGCAAACACAGCAGTCGCAGGGCTGGGTAGCACCGTGCTCCTTGTATATCCACACCGTGGTGGCCAGACCCTAATTCCATCCATTTGGGCAGCCCCTAGACTCACTGACGAAACTGAAGTGCAAACATGGCAAACCTGGGTGACTAGGACATGAGCACACACTGTGTACATGGCAGGGTGAAAACACTAGCACACATACACCAAAAACCATCACACAAGTGGGAAAATGTTAGGGTCATGGAATCTTTCTCTTTTTGTAAAATTCTCCTTAGTTGCTTTTATACTACCTTTTCAATGCCACCATTTGTTAACTATAAGTTGTGACTCAGTGTCCTCATCTAGAGAACAGGCTACTGAACCACTTGAGATTGTTATGGGCCTTCAGTGAAATTATACCAGCAAACAATGTACGTCAAAGCAGAGAAGCCGGAGCAAAGCAGCTCACCCCAGGTTGTGCCCCGCGGTGATGGGATCACGTAGTCCAGCACCATGACTTTCTTTCCCAAGTTGGCAGCTTCCTGCAGAAAAGCAACTACATAAACACATCTTATCATTTTCTTGACCCCAATTTTTCTCTTCTCCAAGTGAAAACATTCTGTGTTATGAAATAACATGGTCTTTTTCCTGAATTAAACCAGCTTAGACTGTAATGCTAAAATATGATCTTTTCAAAAGGCGTCTCTGTGTTTCTCCCCATGTCCCACCTTTGCACAGGAAAGGCCACCAGAGCCACCCCCGATGACGATGAGATCATAATCATAGGCCGAGTTCTCCTGGAGGAGCTTCTGCAGTAAGCCGCTCTGATGGGCCTGTGGGTTCCGAAAGGAGACAAGAGGCTATGTGACTTAAAGTTTTAAAACTATTAATTTCCACTCAGTGTTCAGTCAGCATGCATTTCTTTTCTTAAAACAATCTTAGAAACAACTGGTAAATAATCTAAGTTGGAATGATAAATTTATCGGGATGCTGTTCAGATAGGGTTCACCAGTTATAACTTATGCCAAAGTACATAGATTTCAGCCCGTTTTGACCTATTAGTTGGAATGGAGGCATGTGTCAAATGACCCACAGTCCTGGCTTCGTATCTGTGTCACACAAGGTCATGCTCCGTGATTTAGCATCAAAATATCACTCAGGTGCTCTCAAATAACTAAGCTTCACTTTTCAAGATCCTTGCACCCCTGTGCTAGTCTTTATTTTGAAAACAATTTTTAGGCACCATCAGCAACCACCCCCCCACTTCTATTAAATAGATTGACATTTTATAATTGTGCTGGTGACTTCCCATACAATGTGAACATTTTGTTTCCTTTCAGCAGTAGTTGTGATTCCGGTTTGGCTCTCCTGGGGATGCCAAGCAGTTTAGTCAAGGTAGAAGTTTGATATTTTTATACATGCATGAAGAGCTGGGACACAGCTATTCTTGTTTTTCTTGTTCATTGCCCCCCACCTTCCCCTGTTCTTTATTCCCTTCCCCCTCCTCTCCCTTGGGATCAAACCTAGGGTCTTGAGCATGCTACACAAGCATTTTACCACTGAGTTTGACAGGTGATTTAGCAACAATTTTCTTTATGCAAAGTCAGTTGCGCATCCCCCTTACCTTGGCTTTAAAAAGAGCGAGATGCAACCAGCCCTTCCTGTGAAGCAGAGCAGGTGTTCTGTAGCCAAGAGGGCCCATCAGATGCTAAGTGGCCACCTGAACACTGCTGACTGCAATAGCTTTTAGGATATTCTAAAAAGGGCTCCCCTGCTTCCTGTTAGGACCCCTTGGGGAAATCCATCTGCTATCCAAGGAAAACCCTTTTCATCTAGAAATTCATTTACTACCTCTTACCTCCACATCCATTCTCTGACATCATTTTCCAGGTGGGGACTGTCAGGCCAGTGCTTCAGAAAGTGTTTAGGGGCTATAATTATAGTACTTACCACCTTCACACCAGGCGGCAGCCTCCAGGACTAATAAAGCAGGCCATTACCACATAACACGGTTAATCACAGATTAACATTCCATGCAGACAGTCTTTTTCCCAAACCAAAGTATAATTCTTAATTAAAATTTTAAATAAGTATTTAGTCAATCACTAGTTACTAACATTTGCATACATAAAGGATTCAACAGAACAGAATGTTAACAGAAGTAAATAACCAATTATCAAATAAGGAGTTTATTTAATAAACATCAATTTGTATCTGTCACTCTTTAACAGAATGACTCCTGTTCATTTCTTGCATTCTAAGAACCAAAGAATTAAAAAAACCACGAGTCTTTTAATTTTTGACTAGAATAAAAAGTAGCAGTTTTGACTGGAATGGGTCACCTTGGGCACAGGTGTTGGTGTGGCTTGCATTTTTCTGAAGGACAGCTTTCTATCCTCTTCTCCTCACACAGAGGCCCTGGCCTGTCTCCAGGGTGGCCCCCCTGCCTAGCCTGGCAACCTCACCTGAACTGCTGAGCTTCTGGAAAGTTAAGCAGGCAGAAAAGCTAAAATATTCCCTTAAATATAATCAAGATTATCTGACAACTATCCTATGTGCTTGTTCATTTTACACCCTCTAAAAGACAAAATCAATGGACTCTTAAAGATCATTTTCTCCTCTTTTCAGTACTTTTTAACACAATATCTGAACAGACAGAATTGAAGAATGTGTACTGTGGTTACCTGGAAAACTCGGTCACATCCACCCACGTGTACTTTATTCACAAAAACACTGGGCACGGTTTTCTGGTTAGTCATCTCTAACAGCATTTCCTGAATGCTGGCCCCATCATCTAAAGAATAAAAAATTGTAGTAAGTCACTGTAAGTGACTTCCAACATGCGTGAAGTAAAGTAAGTATAGAACACTCAAATGCTCACAGGTGCACACACAGAGGCCAGTGTGCTTTACAGCTATGCAGTGATGACTCAAGATGCAAAAGTACCTGTGCTTTCAGAAAAAATCTTAAAAAAATAAAGACCAGTCAATTGATTCCTTTTAAAATAACTAAATTAGCTTTTGATGCACAACTCAATGACTATGTTTTCTGTAAAGAATAGTATATCAAGATAAAACTGTTAGCTGAACATAATGGCACAGGCCTATAACATTAGCACTTGAGGCTGAGGCAGGAAGATCTCCATGAGTTTGAGGCCAGCTGGGCTATGCAGTGACTTCAAGGCCAGCCTGAACTATATAGCGAGACTATCTCAAACAAACAAACAAATAGAAGAAGAGATACAATTGTTTTAATAGCAATAACTCAGAAAATACCAATCCATCTGAAAATTTTTTTTTGTCTTTTTCATTTTTTTATCGGTACCAGGGATCGAACTCACAACCGCCTGCTTGCAAGGCAGGTGCTTATGCCGCTGAGCTAAATCCCCAGCCCCATCTGAAAAATTTTTATTCACATAGTTCAAACTTTCGTTTCCATCCCTGAAAATAAAACTGGGTCATAGAGTACTTAAAGCTGTTTTGTTTGGTATACCTTTTACAAAGGTCTCAAAGGATCAAGAGTATTTTACTTCCTAAGGTGACCTGGATGAAGTGAGTCAGTCCATGCAGGCAGATATCAATTTTTTCCCATCACCTCCGCACAGCACCCCAAGTGTACTGTTCAGTGAATATCACATGCATGGATGCCAAGGAGTCAAAAGTACAAAGCTGCAAACAGAATGTGCTCCCCTGACAGTAACACAGTCAGGAAATAGGAGTGGATTTCTTTCATTTAGTACAGCTCTATCTATTTTTTTAGAAAGATGGCAGAGACATCTGAAATATCTCAAATACTTCCAAGTTAACAGCTTATACATCTTCCTTCCACTCCCTTCTCTCAAACAGGAAAAACACACAAATAAGAAAATCTCCACCAAATTATTTGTCATATAAAGGTTCATTTTCTGCATGGTGAAACAGACAAAAATGGCTCACCTAACACAAAGAGACAAGAGTAAATTGACTTGAACAAAGTAAATGGAGAAAAGTAAATCTTGTTGTCATTTATCACAAAGAACACAATGTACCACTTACCAACTTGATCAAGTTCCAAGATGTTATAGGCAACTCCCAAAGAAGAAAAGAGTTCTTTCACCTGTAACAAAAATGGACCTGTTTCACTCTTGCAAAGGATTCAACAGATATGAATTATAGGCACAGTCGTGACATACTACAGCCTCAAATTCCCCTCAGCCTGCTGGGAGTACCCCTTCAAACGAGTGGGTCCAAGAGACAAGCTGCTCAAAACAGTGGCTCACCACAGCAGAAGGACACTAACATCTCTTAACCCCTCACCCCAGCTCAGTTACACAGGCTAAACTGCTAGCAAGGGCTATCACAAATAAGGGCACCCTTCTTCCATCCAATCCCCCCAGGAGGAGGTCAAAGGCTCTAACCCACGTACCAGGGGCAGAATACTGAGGCCCTGAACCCCTCTCCATCCTAGTCTAGTTCACTTGCAAGGTGAAGCTGCAGGACAGGAAAGGTAAGCCAAAAAAACTAGAATTGTTCATTCCTCTTTAGAGCCCTGCTTATAAAACAGGGGTCATTCCAGGGAGGTCACTGTCCCCACCCCATGCTTTGGAACAAAGGCTCTGAGGTTTTACCCCAGAAGAGGCAAATCCTAAGAACACTGAGCCCCAAAACTCTTCCCAAAAGAGCTGACTTTATTTGAAACAGAATAAGGGGAAGTCCAAGCCTAAAAACTCTCAAAAACAATGGACAGCCAGTGTGGAGGAACAAGCCTGTAATCCCAGCATTTGAGAGGTTGAGGCAGGATCTTGGTAAGTTCCAGGTCAGCCTAGGCTACACAGTGAGTTCAAGGCCAGCTTAAACTACATAGTGATATCTGATGTCTTGTCTAAAAAAAAGAAGAAGAAAGAAAAAATGTAGATTTCAGTGCTAAGAAATTAAGAAGAAACTCATCACTCCATTAGAGCCAACAAGCCAACAAGCTAAAGTAGCCTACCAGCTAGTTTAGCAGACAGAATGAAGGAAAGAGATAGCTAAGAATGGTCCTCATAGGATCACAGTGAACTTCAAAGCTTCCCTCAAAAATTACCCCTGCAAAGAGATCTAGACTTAACTGGATCAAAATACAGAACACTGAACACCCAGGGCACTGTCAGGAACAGCAGAGTAACCAGCTTGCAACTAGCAAAGCCTGAAGTGTGGATGTGATGCCAGCAGGGACAAGCAACACAGCCAAGGAGCCCTATTAACCCTGTCACCATGGCTGTACCTGCTGCAAGGAACAATGTAGGCCTCAGCTGGGGTGGGAAGGAGCTACCCTGACAAACCAGCTAGCTCGCTATCACACAGCGAGTATGCAGGTGATTGGACTTGAGTGATGGTGACTGGACTTGAGTGTTCACACTAGTGTGGAAAGGACAGGTTCTGCAGAAAGTGAGACAGCAGCAACCAAATCAGAGAAAAAGCACAGGGATTTGCACTCACACCACCAATACCACCAGTTCCAGGAGAATTAAGGAAAGCGACTGTGGAAAGAAAGCATATTATAAAACTCCCAGCAGCTAAATCAGGAGAATATATTTATGACCACGGAGAAGAAAAATAGGTCTCCCAAGTAAGACACAAAAGGCACAAGCTGGCTTATAAAAAAGTGACAGTTTCAGTGACATTAAAAATTTCAGGTAACCAAAACAGCCCAAAAAGAGAATAAAAAGAAAAGTAAAATCTAGGAGACTTTCCAATCTATGTAACGGAAGGATTAGTATCTAAAATATACAAAGAACACCTACAAATCTGCATAACAAAATGAAAACATTTTGAAACAAAAAGGACTTGCTGGGGGCTGGGGATTTAGCTCAGCGGCATAGGTATCTGCCTTGGAAGCAGGCAGTCGTGGGTTCGATCCCTGGTACCGATAAAAAGGAAAAAGAAAAAAAAAAAAGGACTGGTTGTTTCATAGAAGAGGAAAATTCAAGTGACCTATAAACAAGTGAAGTTCATCAGGTACATGCAAAATTCAGGCTACAAGGACATATCATTTCATAATTGCCAGGATGGCAAAAGGTAAAAATATCAACTGTTAGCAGGGATACAGAGCAAGAGGAGCTGTTTTACACTGGTGAGGGCAAACTGCTATAAGTGCTTAGAGAAACTGTCGGGCTTCACTTTGGCAATTGAGGATTTCAAGCATCTTTCCTGGCCCAGCAGTTAGAGCAAGTCTTCCGTATGTGTACTGAGAGATGTGCCCAATGCCAGGCGTGCAGCCATACTGTTTTCACGAAAAATTAATAGAAACAGCAGAATGATGAACTGTGGGACTCATTCCAGGCAACAGCATGGCAATAAAAATCAATGAGCCACAGCTACAGGTACTAACATGCATCACTCTCTGGTCTACACATAACTCTCCAGAAAAGAACTGCAAAGGATTCTATCTGCAAAAAGTCCCAAAACAGGAAAAAAGGAACAAAGAATTAACTACATGTGTGTAAATGAATGTATTTGGTGAAATTGAGTAAGAATAAGGTATTTTGGACAGTGGTAGGGTGGGAAGAGATATCCCAGGAGGCTTCTAAGTGACTAACATCATCTTGTTATTCTTTAGCTTTAATATGATTGAATACATGTTTTAAGAATATGTATATATGTATATGTAATCAATGTAAGCATCGAATTTGAAAACGAAATCCTGTTAATTCCATGAGCGTGACCCAACAGTGGTGTGTATATTTTTTTCCATGCCTCATTTTTCAACTTTCTGATAAAGAGAACTAAATTTCAAAGTATTCAAGTCCGTATTTCACAAGTGGGTTAGGATTCAAAGGATCGTTTCCAAGTGCTGTTAGATTTTCCCGGTGCAGGGGATGGACCTAAGGCCTTCAGGAGGGCTCTACCCCTGGGCTTCGCCCCTCACCCACTCCCTAAGAATGTTTGCTCCTGAAATGACGCCCAACGCCTATCTGGCCCCAAAGCGAAGGCAGCACAGCCTGAATGACTCTGAGTTCGTGTCCCCGTTCCGCTTTCTCGCATCCTCACTTCAGGATGTGCGGACCCCAGGGCTGCTTGGGTTGGGCCCTGCGGGTGACCCCGTTCTGGCCCTGAGCGACTCGGAGGGAGGCGGCCTCTGCCCGCTCAGTCCCTCTCTGGACAGCAGGCCGGGCCCGCCCCTACCCGCTGGCCGTGGGGACAGTAGCTCTTGTTGAAGATCATCACCCGGTTGTTCTCGATGAGGCCGCGCAGTCGGCGCTGCAGCTCCTCGCGGGTCTCAGGCGACGGCCGGGCGGTCCTAGGGGACAACCGGGAGCGGTGCTCGGGCGGCGACATGGGGACGCCGGGGAAGCTGCCCAGGGGGCGGTTGGGGACAATGCCCGCTTTTCCGCGTCTAGGCGAGTTCGGCGCCCACAGTGGTGACTGGGGCGACGGCGGCGACTTGGAGGACGGCGGAGGCTCCAGGGCCGCGCTCTCAGTGCCGGCTGTGCCGGGCCTGCTCAGAAACCGAGATGCGCGACGCAACAAACACTGCGGCTGAAGGTCCCCGAAAACAGTCAGTGCGGAGAGGTAGCACCGGTATCCGCCAACTGCTCTAAGGAAGGGGTAATGAGGGCTCACGCCCCGCCCCCGGCGCCGCCCCGCCCCGGCGCCGCCCCGCCCCCGGAGCCGCCCCGCCCCCAACTAGGTAGCTGCTAGCCCTCTGCTAAAAGTCGCTAGCCATTGGCAGAGAGAGGCGGGACAGGTGTCAAGCTGCTGTCATCGCAGTGTCCTGTGCACATCCCATGACCAGCCAGTCTCTGACGACGCCCAAAATCTTCCACTCCTGACAATCTCCAATATGTGGTCTCTATCCATGGAGGACAGATTCTCGATTTTATATGAGAAGTGTGGATAGAAAGATGGACAGTTTTAAAAGTTTGCATCACGCATGTTAAATAAAAACATCACATTTCCTATAACGCAGTTCCTGGGTTGTTCTTCCTCAATTCCCTTCTGCGAAGCACCCCGCGGCCACGCCTGGAGATCGGTCCTGTGTCCCTTGCCTGGATGGGTGGAGGTAGAAAGCCACACGGTGACAGGTACCACCTGACTTGGGAGAAGCTCCTCATTGCCATCCTACCAGGTGCCACGCTGGTCTTGAACTCTCATCCTCCAGGATGGGGTGGAGGGGACTTCGGTGATTCACTGGCTTTCTGGCCTTGCTTGTTTGGGCGGCCACACTGACCAAGGGCCATTCTGCAAGCGTTGCTCCTTGTCATCATGTCTCACACGAGTGTTACCTTCTTGGGGAGCCTTTTGCTGTGTGCTGAGTTTGAGCAATCCCTGAGCCCCATTATCTTGCATGTGCTAGTTTCTTGATGCCACACAAATTGCTACTTTTCAATGATCTCCTAAGATTTCTGGGAACCTGGTTCTTGTTTACCCATTATCACCACTAGAATATGAGCTCTTCATCACTGGTTCCTAGCTCTAGGCAAGGAGTCTAGCACAGTGCCAAACTCATAGTTGGCAAGCAATACAGACTTACTGCAAGACTGCCTCACATAGATTGCTCTAATTTGCTCCCCTCTTAAACGTGACAGGCCAGTTGAAAATGCTTTCCCTTCCTACTTTGCTTATCCAGAGAGTGCCAGATCAGAGAGGTGGCCTAAAGACCAGGTCTTTGGGGACTCCCCACCCTGCTGTCCCCACCTGAGTTTGCTAGTCCATTTTACACCTTCCCCTCACAGGCTCTTAGGATATACCCATTTCCAAGCATTAGGAGTTAAACAATGAATGGCAGCGCCTGTCTGCAGAAGGTGGAGCTCAAAAATAAGGACCCCAAATGGGAAAATGCTTTTAAAGAGAGGAATAAATATCCTTAAACTGGCTGAAGGACTGAAGGAAAATCAGTCCAGATGGTCAGAGTGGGCACCAGACAGAAGGAGGGCACTTGGTTGAACCAGAGAAGCAGAGCACAGCTTAGTGCATTTGGGAAAATGCTGGAAGACCCAAAAATGGCCAGAGGTGAGAGAGAATTAGTGTTGCTGAAGTGAGCAGGGCCAGATGGCTGGTCACGTGGCCTGCTGTGCCAGGAAAGCCTCCAGGAAACAAAAGGGGGGGGCAGCAAATTCGGGCATCCGAGAGGCGGCTGCCCTGTTAGCTTGAAGAAGGGCCAGTTTGGGGAAACTGAGGAAAAAAGGAACCAGTACAAGAGGGACATCCCCTTTCTTCTTCCTAGTTATCTTTCTCTTGTTTCTTATCCACCTCACCAAATTTTACTATGTTTTACTTACCTTTTTCAAGGAAAGCTTCTTATTTGTTGACCAAATGCACTTGTTTCATTTTCTAATTCATAAATTTCTGCTTTTGCCTTTGTTCCTTTGTCTCATTTTCTTGGAACCAGTCATTTTGCATTTTTTCTTACTCCTTAAGTTGAATTTACTTCATTCACCTGTGTTTCCTTTTATAAAATGTTCCTTTTGCAAACAAACACAGTCATTTTTTCCAAAAAGAAACAAAACATATTGAAGTAGCAGGACCCTCAAACTATAGATAATAATTGTCCCAAAGGCTCACAAACCCTACTTGTGGCTAGTATAAGATGATCATCATTCCAGCCACTATTGAAAGCATTTAAACAGATAGTAGGATGTGTAGAGATATAATTTTATAAAATATGGTCATGCTAATTATAAAAATAAAAGTAGATGAAATTATAAGGAAAAAAACTACAGTGAAACTATTGGAATTTTAAATTTAGATTTTCCAGACATTTTCCCAGAAAAGATTAGTTTCTTAAAGAGCTCTTTAAAGAAAAATCATGAAATGAAATTGACGTCATTATGTTACTAACAATTTCAACCTTTAACTGTATGTTTTTATTTCTTGGTTAAGAAAATGAAAAAGCTATAACACTGACATGTTTTCCTACCTCTCCTCCTCACTCATGAATTTCATAAAGTCTACTACTATTCTTACATTATCAGGCTCTATGACGTTGGTATTCTGCTTGGTTACCATGAATTCTGCTTGGTAACCACACAATTTAGTCTTCCCCTTGTAAACAGGTATTTAAGGAGATTTGATGTCACATACCAAACTTCTTATGCCTTTTTCATCCATGAATTTCAATATTTCAATTGTTTGGTTTGAGTTATCACTTGGAATTTTCTGTTTCTTTGTGGTACTGGGTGGTAGTTGGTGGTACTGGGGATTGAACACATGTGCTGAACTATGCCTTCAGTCCACCCCCCCCCACTTCCTTTATATTTTGAGACAAGGTCTCACTAAATTTGCCTGGCTTGCCTTGAACTTCTGAACACTTCATATCAGCCTCCTGAGTATCCCACATACATATTTTAAAAAGGGATTATGGTTACTATCTGCCTTGAGTGTTACTGTTCTTGAGAATGCCTGTCTCATATGAACATGAACAATCGAGCTAATTCTAAAATGCACGATAAAACCTTCTCTCTGAGGACTGCAGCTGTTCCTCTCAATCTTGTGGAACAGAGTATGCACATGAAAATCTCGAGAACAAGTTTGCCTTCTCATATCACATATTATATTTGCTCTCTATTGCTACCAAACAAATTACTTCCAAAGTGAGCTGCAGAAAGCAGCAAATACTAATTATCTCACAGTTGCAGTGAGTCAGAAAGGTGGAAACATTATTAAATGACTGTGGCTGGATGGCTGTGTGAGGTTGTTAAGCTATGGAATAGGGCGGGAAATCTGCTTCTGGGATGTTCATCATGATTGTCAACTTGGTTGGTTTGAGAGATGCCTAGGATATTAGTAAAGTGCATTTCCAGGTGTGTCAGGGTGGGTCAGAGGTCACCTGTGGGCTGTATGTGGTCCCTGGCCCCTCCCTCTATGTCTTTTTCATGATTCTCTGCTTCCTGGATTCCAGGAGCAGAACAGTTTTCCTCCACTATACCCTTTCGCCATAACATTTCTCCCTTGGACTGAACCCTCTGAAACCATGAGTGAAAATAAACTGTTTCTGCTTTAAATTGTCTATGTGAAGGATCTTGTCTCAGCAATGAGAAAGCTGATTCATGCAGCTTTCGTGTTAACTTACACGGCTCTTGACAGGACTCACTTCGTTTCAGGGAATTCTCTGTAGGTTTCCTCATTGCAGGTGAATTTACAGACCGGAATTCAAACTTCAGAAGTGACATCCCATCCCCTGTGTGGCATTCTTTTACCTACCTAGAGGCCATGATGTCCAGCTCATACTCAAGGAAAGAAAACTTCAGCTCCGCCTATTGAAAAGACGAGTATCAAAGAAATTAAGGTTACACTTCTAAGACCACCACACACCATGACTTATTTCTCCTGTTTAAAAAAACAGTGTTATCTTTTTATTTACCCTTGATGTTGGGAAACTTTACTCAGCTATGCCTTGGAGTGATTCTACTAATAGCCATCCTTTGGTTATGAAGAGAAACTACATAATGCAAAATAAATACCCTGAAAACAAAAATGGGAAAAAGAAGGCAACTGAGTCTTTGGCACCCCATTGAGTGACCTTACCTGAAAGTTGATTTATGTTTGCACAGTTGTAGTCTAATAAATTCTCTTAATTATTTGTACCCAGCTTTAAACCAAAATCAACTTAACACAAATAAAAACATTTCAAAGTTTTAATGTCAGGTGCAGAAAAACACTTGATTCATAGTTTCCTAGTAGTTATATCTCTTATAAGATATGATTCTTAGTTAACTTTTTAGCCTATTTTTAAATTTTTTTTCCAAATACTGCTATTGCCAAATCTACTTTCTTTTGTTGGTGTTTGCATATATGTCTTTTTCCATCTATATTAACTTTCCCTGGCTATAAGGAAATCCCTGAGATAAACTGAAAGAGTCAGGCTGCAGTAACTGGAGGCCCATTGCTTTTGGCCACTGTGGCAAAGGACATCATGGCAGAGGGACACGGGATTGAAAACTTACTTTTCTCATAGTGAGCAGGAAGCAGGGAGAAACAGGGAGAGAGGGTCAGAAGGGGCTGGGGGCAGGGGGATGGAAAGAGACAGACGGGAAGGTGCCAAAGTCTCAGTGTCCCCTCCAAGGTCACGCCCCCAGTAACCTTTCTTCCTCCCAGTATGCTTTGCCTCCTGAAGGCCCTACCATCTCCAGTAGCACCATCTTGCTGGTGACCAAGCCTTTACCATCTCAGCTTTTGGGAGACATTTAAGGTGCAAACCCTATCAGCACCATTTTTTTCAATAATTATTTATCTTTCCCTTCTGTATTTGTCTCATAGGATAGAGTCTTAATTAATTGAAAAAGATACAAAAAATCAGATGACAGAGTTAAGAAGATACAGCATGGCAGCAGGCTATGGTTGTTTTGGGCCAGCAAGGTAAAAAAGAAACAAGAAAATGGGGAAAAGGCATGGGGTTGTGGCTGACAATGATAGGTTTCATTTTTATGAGTGAGAAAAATGTTCTGAAGTGATTCTAGTGATTAATGCATAAATCTGTGACAACACTGAAAGCCACTGGATTGACCTTTCTATGTAGGAATTGTGTGGTATGTGAATTAGATTGCTTTATGTGTATGGTGCTGGGGTCTTCATGCTGAGCTACATCCTTAGCCTTTTTTTATTTTTGTTTTTATTTTGAGAGAAGGTGTCACTGTGTCATTAAATCGCCTAGGCTGGGCTTGAACCTGTGATCTTCCTGCCTCAGTCTCCTGAAGTACTAGGACTACAGACATGCATAACCCCACCTGGCTGTGAATTATATCTTGAAGATTTCAGAAAAGAAGATATTGAAGAAACAAACTAAGAATAAGATGATTTGAAAAAAGAAGCAATAGAACTATAAAAACTCATACATTTTAAGTATTGTTGCCCAAACTTATTTATATGCATATAAAAATATTTTCATATTTCGAATATGTATATATTCATATGTATATGCACATATGTGCATGAGTCTATATATGAGAAAATTTCCCACAATGTGGAACAATATGGTCAAAAGTCAGAAAATATAAAAGCAAAGATAAGAAATCAAGAAAATCAATCCAAACGTCTAAGAGAAGGCCCTGAAACAGAAAAAGGGACAAACAGTACAGTGATACTAAGAGAAATTTTCCAGAAATGAATCACATAAGTCTTC